AATTGAGATTCAAGAGCAGTAGGACAATATTCCTAAAACTGAAGAATATCTGGAGTCTAAAAGAACTGCCACCCTGGACCAAAACCGGAATTTTCAACATTGACGTTAAAACCGTTCTTTTGCACAGGCCGAAACTTGGCTTACGGATTTGGAAGCAAAAATCAAGACTAAGAATAGGACATACTAACAAGTGAAACGTAGAACCCAGGACAGAACTATCTAGAGATCCCTGGTTGACAGTCTATTCCTCAAAAGGGCTAATGGACTTAAGAAATTATGTTGACTAACTGTTCAAATAAAAATACATAGTTTTCTGTTACCTGGACGAGCAAAAACATAAAAGTAATGCTGAAAGTTTTACCTCAAGTTTTATCTAATGTACATATCGAATAATTTGTTTTAACAGGTTAACATAACATGCGGATTCTGTGATATTTTCGAATTAGTGCTAAAGATGGCAAAGATTGGAATGTTAGTCTATTAAAAATATTAACGATTATTTATATAATATTTATTTTTTTCATTTATTTGAACATATAGATATTGGTACAAGGGGGCACCTAATAGATATGCGCCACACAAATCTCATTTGATTTGTATGAGGGCTGTGATACTGTCCGGGTGCCCAAACCAAAGCAGGTGGTTTTCTTAGGGGGTCACACCCGGAGCCATCGACCTGAAGGTCTGATCCACGAGCCAATGGAGCATCGTAATAAGATGCAGTCTCATGTTATTCGGTGACTAATAATTGGTTCATACGCCATTCGTTCCCTCAGGATCCTGAAACCAATTTGCACCATTGGCTTGGAATCAGGGTTTTCCGATTCCCCTAGGCAGACCCTCTGTGTCCACCACCCGGGTTAAGGCGCCGGACATTTTCTTTTCGTCCTCGGAATTTCATAAACAACAGTAATGCCGCGAGAAGGCAGTGAGTAGGACTTTCCTGGCAGAAGCTATATACGCGTGGCCATGTGAGAGCATTTCGAGAGGGTGAGCTGACTCTCCCCACTCTCGGCCGTACCAGGGCATTTGGAGGTACTTATACGATAAGCCCAAAGAGCTGAATAAAATCGATCAGAAATATTGATTAACTATCAAATGAGTTTGTTTTTTTCATGCCTATTAAGGTTAACTCTTTTATACATGCCGTGGTCCAATCTTAAAAAAAACCCAGTTTATTTTATATTGATTATTATAAAATTGATCATTCTAATGAATAATGAATAACGTTCTCATTGATTTTCGATAAATCTAAGCTTATTTATACACTAATGATTATTTTATATTCGTTCATTGAAATCATTATACTTAACTACTTAAAGTAAATTAATTAATTAACGGTTGCAATAATCTTTTAATAGCTTATCATGTAATAGGTTTTCTGAGAGTTCTTTCTCATCTTATATTATTGTACAAGTAATAAAACAAATCTAACCTTGAATAAAAACGTTTATTTCTTCTTCTGTTGTTAAAACCAATGTAGTTCAGTTTATACAAATTTTCATTTCCATATCTGTAATTCCTATGAGAATAAGTGATCAATACTTTGAGAATCAAATCTCCTACTTAACTAAATCCATGGGAATATCATTTACTTTTTGTAATTTTGCATTGTAATTGGTGTTTTGTTATACATCATTATAAAGTGTTCTTTGGTATAATTTAGTTCATGTGATTTGTTTGGTTTAACATGTATCTCATGAATGAATGGAAATCTTAAAGTAATTTACTCTGTCCAATAATTTGTTTTTATATAATCTTATAATTTACCAGAAGGAGTTTTGTGGAGATTTTAAAAATTTCAATAGTTGAAATCATGAGTCAATTGAAGCTAGATCACCATGGAAAACCTGGAAGCACTATATGGATATTTCGTCCTAATATAGGACTCCTCAGCAGTGTGCATCCACGATCCCTCCCCCCCCCGCGAGATTCGAACCCAGAACCTATCAGTCTCGCGCGCAAGCGCTTAACCACTGGACCCCTGAGCCGGCATCCAACGGTGTTAATATCTAACTTCAACCATTACTTCAGAATCCATAACTTATATCATGGATTCATCTTAATTAGAAAAACATCGAAAAATATGAAATATTGAATAATAAAAAAGGGAGTTATAGTGTAGAAATGAGTAAATGACACTATTCGATAGCTTACTATCACTATAAGTGGTTTGTATTTAATGTATGGTCATATATAAACTAGTCTTCAAAAAGAAATAATTGCTCATCAAGTTTCTTTTGATTTCAATACATTCTAGCCCTACAGACTTCATCTAATTCTTAGCAAAATGTTACTTTGGATACTACAGCTACTTTTTAGTACTTTCTTGTGTATTAACACTATACGTGATATAATTGTTTATGTAGATTTCTTTGCAATTACTTGATAATCATTGAATAAAAGATCGAAAATTAACGAGCTCATCATGAGAACTGAATCTGATAACAGTAAAACACTGAACAAGAGTTTGGTGGTGTTTTGTTCTCTGAGCTGGATGGTTTGGTCGTGGAGCTTTCATCGTTCTTCTGAACGACATCATCAGCACAAACTTCAGATAGAAGTCTATCTATCTGAAGTTTGTGCTGATGATGTCGTTCAGAAGAACGATGAAAGCTCCACGACCAAACCATCCAGCTCAGAGAACAAAACACCACCAAAATCATCCACCTGAGCTACAAATCTTCTCCACCATCACAGAACAAGATTCCTGACCAAAGAGAAGTGAATTTCATAAAATTTGACAGTTTTCAACGATTATGGAGATAATTTTATTGATATTATGGACCAACCTAAGATCATCGGTGAAAACTCGAAAATAATGAACAGCCGTTTCGTCCTAGTGCGGGACTCCTAAGATGTGATGTTGAAATATTTAAAATAACTGGTTTCATTAGATAAAACAGTTGCACATTTATATAGATTCCATCTACATACACTTAACAAAAATATCGAATCTTCTATCGATAAAATGAACATTTCGTTGATATTAAAACTGGCGGAATTGTAAACAAAGAATATTTTTTTAAATTATTCACTATCATAGTTTTTAACAGAAGTTAACAAGTACAAGAAAGATATATTGAAAGGAAATACCCACCCCCAAGGAAAGCTAAAATCATCATTTTTACTATGCTAATGATCTTCATATGAAAACCACAAGTAAATATCAATCAATGCTACTTGTAAAACCTCTATTGAGCTTAAAATAACGAGCTTTTAAGTTGTTATTGGAAACGCTTAATGGGTAACTACGAGAATTTACCAGTAGTATAGAGAAAAATTCTATGTTTAAGATCTTAATAAAGCAATGTATATGTGTCATAAAGGCTATCTAGACTCAAAAATATCGTTATTTGCTTACTAGTGACTAACTTACAGCGGTAATTCTTTGATTTTTAGTTCGAATTTGTGACCAGGAGAGTTCAATCATGCTAGTGATGCAGTTACTCACCAATGAAATTGGAAGATGGTTGTACAGTGTCACAAGTCGACTGAATTTAGAAATGTAAAACGTAAGATACAGACTTAAAGGCTCAAGTGGTAGTCGTTCGCCACGATGATTTAGTGTTTTGAATTCGCTTTCTGTTAGGGTAATGTACTGGCACCTCTCTAGAGTCTTGTTTTATGAAGAAACAGATTATCAGTTATTCTTTGTTTACAATGATAGTCTAAAATCAATCCGTAATATAAAGCCATAAAATCTCTTAACTATTTTCAGTTACCTTTTTGTTCTTTAGGTTTGATGTTAGTAATGGCAGGACATTTTGATGTCGTTGACCATCACTTTACTTTATATCTTCAGCTAATTGAACATTTGAATGTTTTCCAGTTAAAAAAGTAGTACTCTAGCTTCATTAGTCTAAATAGTGATTTATTTGCTAATAAATTTCCCACTATTATTGATACTTGAGTCATTTGAATATGCTTATATCTTTCCACAATTCCGATTGAATTCGTTTATTAATACTTGAAACTGTAACTGATGGGCAGTTCAACTTTTTCAAAAGTCAGTTAACTTTTATAAATTAAAATTACTTGAATACTTGAGACACCCAACCTATGAGTAGTCATTTCACTGAATTTATGTGGTATTCACACCTATCGTTTTCATTTAAGTATTGAGGCATATTAACAAAATCAATCCTAGATGGGTTATTCAACTATTAATCAGTTATCTTTTTGTCGACTTCTAGGAGTAAACTTTTTGATATAGTTATCAAAATGAAAACTAAGCAGTATATTTGCCAATCATGGAACGCTAATCAACTTATATAAAACTGAAGAATGATTGACTACTGAGTTATACGAATCAGCTATTAGTAAATTGAAGAGGTCTCACTTTCCTCAAAGCAGGATTAACTGTGAACAAGCATTAGAACTTGTGATTTAATTAACCAAGTGCCAGAAAATTGGTTCCATTTATAAATTATAATTGTTGACTTCATCTCAAAGGTTCAAAACCATCTATGAATAGATTTTAATGTGAACTAATAATCAACCGAAGTTGGATGATTACAAACATGATCGATATCTCTTCCGTCTTTCTAGATATTCTTACAGCAACATTTGCTGAAACTTATTGTCTTGAATATGCTTCGGACTAACAATATCAAGCTACCAATTTCAACGTACAAAATATCGTCAAACTGTTTTAGTTAATTGACAATACGGACAATAAGTTTTGTACATTCTATATTAAGTAAGGCCCAGCGAAATTTTACAAAACTTATTAAATTATTAATTCAAGGTATATTTAAGACATACAAAATTTAAATATAAGGGACGATAAATGAAATAATGAACTAAATCGACAAGTATTATTTTCTTGACTGATATTAATTAAGTAATTCGAACTGGTAGTCATATTTCTTTACATTAGACATTAAAATACTACTAATTATAATGTGCTTTGGTTGTTAATACAAAAAGGGAAGTAATTAACACGAGAAGAGACAAAATTAAGAAGAGTAAGAAGAAGAAGAAGACTGACAAAACGTTCAACATTGTTTGGCTTTACATATATCCGTGAATTCCGGTTTTAATGAAGCCCCACCAACCAAAAATCCATCGACATCATGTTGTTGAGCTAATTCTTTACAATTGGCAGCAGTTACAGATCCTTTGGGTGTAGTAAATAAAAGGAGAAAGAAAAAAATACGTTTTTTAATACAAAGCATAGATATTGACGTTAACATTCAAAATTAATACTGCATTTCTAAGGATTAATAACTGAATAGTTGGACTATAGACAGCGAGGGATTTCAAGACATATCTATTATACTGTTTGAGACTCTCTGGTTGCATTCACCTGCTTTTTGGTTTGAATATCCATGTTGGGAATCAAACCCAGTGCCATTCACGTTAAAAGATAATGCAATATTCACTGAGCTACTGAGTTCAGAGAGCCACTGACTTGTTCTATGAGAAGCTCTGTCTATCATTAGGAATGAAGTATTTAAGTTACATCCAGCTGATTAGTCTAAAATAATATAAAATGTATCGTCAATTTTACTACTAGTGACAACCCATCTATTGTAAACGATGTACATATAGCGTCAGTATACAACACAATAGGTATATATTCCAGCAAGAAGAATTCAAATCCAATGATGAATGTCAACAATGAAATAGTTCAGACACTTTTTTCCAGTTATAGAGTCATCATATCCCGTAAAAAATGTAATTGGTTATCTAGACGCATTAGCTTAGTGGATAATGTACAAATGTATAAATCAAAAGATAATGAATTTGAGTCTCAATGTAAATATTAACAATAAGGTGCAAATACATCTAATCGATAAATTTCATATAGTATAATAGATTCATTTTGAATTCTAGTGCTAACCAAAAAATATCTATTCTATGAAATAGTTATATTGGAACAATTCACAAAAAAATGCACAAATGCCAAAGAAAGAATAATGAAATTTCACCCTTAAATATCAACACAATAATAATTTAAAACAAGCCCGCAAATGCCCTGGTGCGGCCGAGAGTGAGGAGAGTTCGCTCTACATCTCCAAATGCTTTCACATGACAACGTGTATATAGCCTCTGCCAGGAAAGTTCTACTCATTGCCTTCTCGTGGTAGGGGTGTTGTCCACGAAATTGAGAGGACGAAAAGCGAATGTCCGACACTTTAACCGGATCCCAAACCAATGGTGCACATGGGCTCCAGTATCCTAAAGGAACAAATGGCGTATGAACCAATTGTTGGTCACCGGCTTCCATGGGACTGCATCTCCTAACGATGCTCCACTGCCTTGTGGATCAGACCTTCAGGTCGAAGGCTCCGGGTGTGACCCCCTAAGAAAACCACCTGCTTCGGTTTGGGCACCCGGACAGTATCACAGCCCTCACATATATCAAATGAGATCTATGTGGCGCATATCTATTTGGTGCCTCCTTGTACTAATATCTATATGTTAAAATAAACAATTAATTAATTAAAAATTAAGGATTAAAATTGTTCTGAAATAAACGCTTTATATACAATAGTAATTATAATCACCAATAAATCAAATGAAATATATTTAATATACACTATAGATTATATTCTTTCCTTATATAATACTACAAAATTTTTTTTTATTTGTTCAGATGTATACTTTGCAGTGACACATTATTATTATTATTATTATTACTAAACTTTTTCTAAAGGCTTTGAATTGCATTTTAAAATATAGAGCATTTTCTGGTAAGCGTTTTTTAGCGAGTTAGTTTTCTGCGGGATGGGAACGCTAACCCCATGCCCAACCCTCCTCCTTTACTCGGGCTTGGGAGCGGCAGTAACTCTAGAAGAGCTACAGGCGGAGTTATAAAATATAGAGGCTAAAATAATAATGTAAAAAATTGTTTGAATTTATTTTATATTTAATTCAATTTAATTAAATTATCATTAAAAATCCTTTAATTAATAGAAAGTAAATTTCATTTGTTTCGTTTATTAATCAATAGTGTTACATCATTCAAAAGAAATATGACATAATTATTGATAAATATCATAATGTCAGAAGTGGTTTGTGGAGATTTTAGAAATTTTCACAGATTGAAATCATGAGTCAGTTGAAACTAGACCACCATGGAAAACCCGGAAGCACTGGACGGCTGTTTCGTCCTATTATTATTATTATTATTATTATTATTATTATTATTAATGGCTTTATTCAATACTAATATATAGTATTAATAATAGTATGGGACTCCTCAGCAGTGGGCATCCACGAACCCGCACCCCGCGGGATTCGAACCCAGGAACCACTGGCTTTGCGCGCGAGCACTTAACCATTAGACCACTGAGCCGGCATCCAAAGATGTTAATGTCTAACTTCAACCAATCCACGAAGTTGCGCCACCGTATACCATTGTCATCAGTGAGCTGATATCTCACGGTGTGCGGGTTCGTGGATGCGCACTGCTGAGGAGTCCCATACTAGGACGAAACGGCCGTCCAGTGCTTTCAGGTTTTTCATGGTGGTCTAGCTTCAACTGACTTATGATTTCAATCTGTGAAAATATCATAATGGTAGATAAAAGTAATAAACTTTGAAAATTGTCATCAATATTCTTTCTTTTCTTTTCTTTTTTTAAGAATAAAATTCCCTACTATGAAACTTATGCTTTGTATTTGTATTTATCTATAAATTATCAGTTAGCAACTGTTAGTCATAACTTTTAGGCTTGTTAATGGGAATTATTCACAATATTTAAGTTTTGATTATCTAACCACCAAAAAAGAAAAAACACAGTTTGAATTGAAACTTCACTTCTATAGTCTGTTTAAATATAGAGGTAAGAATTTATCAATATAAATCATAGGAAATTGAAAGTTTGAAAACTAACAGTAAGAAATGACAAAATGATTAATAATTTATTGGTTGATTAAAAATTCAATAAATGATTCAAATTCTAGAATGAAACAACATTTACGAAATGTGATAACTGACTCAAAGTATCTAGCACATATTTCAGTTACTTAGGGAGTTTGAAGAGAAACTTAATAATCTCTAACGTAAGGTTATTTCTACAATTATTGAATTAAAAAATATTTTAAAACGTGAAGAAAACTTAGGTAAAAACATAATCAACTGATGTCCTTGAGTTAACCAATCAGAATTAAGATAACGCTCCATGTGAATTTTGAGCGAAGTTTAAAGTGCAGTGATAGATAATGTGTCTGTTATTGCTAACCAAGTGAAAATTGATTATATTTGGTCCTTAAAATGTTTAAAATCAATGAAGATATTTATCATGAAACAATAAAGTAGATTTTAAATGACCCTTAAGCTAAATTACAAAAACATGCTCGCTCGAGAAGCAGACAATGTTAAGGCACTTGACGTTCTTCATTGAGTAATCAAGAGTATTTAGATGATGTTCTCGTTTTCTTACCCTCACTCGAAATCTTAGCCCTAAGTTTCTTCAGCCTCTAGAAAAAAAGGTGGCAAAGCATTTCACCAATGCTAATGTCAGTTCGTGTTAAAAACCTTGACCCTTATTTGTAAACTTAATTCAAAACTCGAGCTTGACTGTTGGTACTGAACGCAAATCTTCTGTATTATAACTGATATAAGTTTCGGATAAAAACTCTATAGAGTGATAACCACAACTCACAACACTAGCACGATTTGCTATATGTATTCATATACCCTTCCTTCTTTTTTCCAAGGAATGATTTGTCTTGTTATGGTTAATTATCACGATCAAAGCTGTTATTTCACCATTATTTCATTACTTCGTATCGTTAATTGTTTCCTGATTGGCTTATTATGCATTCAAGGTCTTCACTATATGATACTTTTATCAGATAATGTAATGTCAACTCATCTAATTACACCCGACCGTTGTTGCTACCTTGACGTGGTGGTCGGGCTTGCCTATCGTGATGAAGCAACCGAGCTATACTGGCTGGAACAACCGTTCCTCAAGGTCCTACCATGTCAGACAGGTCGGTTGAAGAGCGGTAAGACTAAAAGCAACAAACCTAAGGTCCGAAGGCGAAGTCGTACTGCTGACTGTACAGAAGTGTGACAGCAGTAAGGTGTTTCCTTCAGACAACCAGCATGACAGCGATGCTGCCTTCCCACAAGGAGGGGTGGGGTTAGAAAAGGTCGACCCTAAAAATGTCACACCTCGCCTTACCTCACGGATTTCCGTCTCCGGCGGTAAGGCCCTTTGAAGAACGGAGCTAACACGTCAAAAACCTCCCACGAAAAGGACGTGCGCGACCGGCCTCAAGCAGTTATCCCTTGGGCACTGCGGTCACGCTCTCAGGTCACTGAGACCGCCTCTAATCCAATTTCCTTTCCAGGTACCTCCAGAAGAACCCTTCCTCGATGTGGGCAACCGGGAAGTGATAACCGCCCTCATACCTCTAACAGCACCCAAGACCACTGTATTCATAAGCAACCTCCCTCTTCAATTCCTATTATTCCTCCTACATCGACTTTCAACCCTAAACTTCCTTTTTCGGCTTCCTCCTCAAGTGTCACCATAGCCAACGATTCTAGTGCTCAAAACTCTGTCCCACGTCTACTGAAACCTCGCTCCAAACTACACATTGGAGCTTTCAACGTACGCACCCTATGTCAAATCGGTCGGCAGGCTTCCTTGGCTAAAACCTTAGAGTCTCTTTCCATTGATGTATGCTGTCTCCGAAACACGCATACAGGATTCCAGTGTGGTCATTCACTTGACCTCACCTCGGCAAAACGGAGAGCCAACGAGATACACCCTACGTGTATCTGGTGACCCGATGGCCAGGTTCCGAACATGATGAAGAGCGACAACAAATCAGATCTAGGTTAAGAAAAAGTCTAAGAAACGACTGTGAGCAGTGGTGGGCATCGAAAGCAAAAGAGATGGAAAAGGCGGCGACTATAGGGAACACAAGACAGCTTTACAGACTAATAAAAGGAACTGGAATTAATAAGTCAAGTGTAAGTGACATTATATCGGAAAAAGACGATACTCTCATCTGCACCCAATCCAGGCGTTTAGAACGATGGGCGGAACATTTCTGAGAACAGTTCAGCTGGCCTTCAGCTACTCTACAACTACCCTCCATTCCCAGACAGTGTGAATGGAACATTGAAGTAGGTCCCCCAACTCTTGCTGAAGTTCAAAAGGCTATAGTTAATATGAAACGAGGAAAGGCAGCTGGTCCAGATGGATTGGCTCCAGAGGTCTTTAAGGATGGTGGTCCAATTTTAGCGATTAGGTTGACTAATATTTTAGCTAAGATCTGGAAGTTAGATGTTGTCCCATCTAACTGGTCACAATCACTTATCGTCCCAATATATAAGAGAGGGTTAAAATCATCCTGTGACAACCACAGAGGGATTAGTTTAACTAATATAGTATCTAAAATACTAGCCTCGATAATTATCGGACGCCTACCTAAGACTTGTGAACTGCAAACACGAGAGACTCAAGCTGGCTTCAGACCTGGTCGTGGCTGCATCGACCACATATTCACCATCTGTAAGGCTCTAGAACATAAGCATACTTATCGGCGTCCGACAATGGTGGTCTTTCTTGACTTAAAAGCAGCATTTGACTCTGTAGACCGCGAGATTCTGTGGCAGTGTCTGTCATTGAAAGGCGTACCCCAGAAGTACATAAACCTTGTAAATGCTCTTTACTCGAACACTACTAGTCGAGTCAGAGCTTATGGCGAACTGTCATCTACTTTTGCAACTTCAAGTGGTGTCCATGAAGGCTGTCCACTTTCCGTATTTTTGTTTAACTTCATCATAGATCTACTGATGGAAATAACTTTCTCGTCGATTGAATTCTCGGGTATTGATCTCCTTCCAGGAGGTCCACTTATCGACTTAGAATACGCAGATGACATAGTCCTGTTTGGTGAAGACGCTGATAAAATGCAGAGTCTTTTGGTAGCACTGAGCAACAATGCCAGGATGTTTGGAATGCGCTTCTCTCCCTCTAAATGCGAGTTGTTGCTTCAGAACTGGTCTGCGTCAACACCTGAACTAAGGATAGGTAGTGAAGTAGTCGAACGCGTTAACAACTTCACTTATCTTGGAAGTCTGATCAGCCCTAATGAATTGGTGTCTGACGAAATCTCAGCACGGATTCGAAAAGCTCGTTTGGTTTTTGCCAACTTACATCACCTGTGGCGAAAGCGAGATATCCGTCTATCAATAAAACGACGAACTATACTGCACGGCAGTCCGTTCTGTTTTAATTTACGGCAGCGAAACATGACCTTTAAGAGTAGAAGACACACGTAAGCTATTAGTATTTGACCACAGATGCCTTAGAAATATTGCTGGCGTCTGCTGGGATCACCGGGTAAGTAATAGTGAGGTTAGACGCAGGGTATTAGGAAATGATGGTAAATCAGTTGATGAGGTTATGAATCTTCATCGACTGAGATGGTTGGGTCACGTGTTACGTAGGCCTGAACACCGATTACCACGACGTGCAATGCTATCCGGTATTGGAAATGGTTGGAAGAAAGTTAGGGGCGGCCAAACCAAAACGTGGCATCAGTGCTTGAAGTCACTAACTTCTAGTCTGACCCATGTTGGTAGATGCAGACTACTTGGTTGGGGTCTCTTATATATTACTACCTTTGACCTAACCACTGTTATGAATCCGGTGTCCATCTTGTTGTGCTGATGCGGTATGGCAACCTGGACCGATGCACATCTGTGCCTGGTCCTGCGTTGTAGCTGACTGACTGACTGACATCTAATTACAACATTTTATACTGAATAAATATAATAAAAATAGAACAACTGACTAAAAGTTTATTAAAAAGAAAATCGAAATAAGATTCACTAACCGCCATAGATAATACGTATTTTTTCATCAACCCCACTTGGTGCATTTGCCTTAAACCATTTACGAAGGAAATTATGAACCTCTTGAGCTTGCTGTGGTGTAGCTACTTTACCTGTTCCAATAGCCCAAACTGGTTCATATGCTACAACTACTCGTTTCCATTCATCAGCTGATTTAATCTTATCTGAAATGAAATGGTATTATTTGTTAAAGTTATTACAAGATATTTGATGCTTTTGTATAGTAAGCTAAACTTGAATAATAAAGTAGGGAACAAATGTGTCTAGTAATTGCTATTATCATGTATCGAACTAAATGCTGACTGGACTTGAAACATTGTTTGGTACCTGACTAAATATCTGCTATTTATTTAAAATTTTACAATTTAAAATAGCACTTCCTAAATTCATGTGGATTGTTGGATTAAAACAAAATAATTGACTCAACAAAGAAATTTGCAGTGATGAATTTGAATAAAATGTAGTCAGTCAATTTGTCAGGCAGTCGACAAAGAAAAGAATTTTAATTTGGTGGGGTTCTTCTTTTGATGACGTTTAGGAGTATATAATTTTGATAGGCACAATTTATGAATGTTGTCTAGATTAGATTTTTAAAATACTAGTTATGTTTATGCTATGTATTTGAGATATCTAAAGTTATTTTCTAATTACAAACAACTCGTATATCCTTCTTATATGAAATGGAATCTATGCGAACTAGGCAGGCTGGAAGATTCACATACTACAACACGTCAACTTCATTAATCCATCAACGAATAAAACAGAAAGAATATCGATTTATGTGGACTGGTGATCCAGTTACCGTACAAATTTATATGGAGAAACTTCCACAAACATCGCATTCTTATCTTCACTGTTAGGGAGAATGATTTTTTTAAAAAGTTGATGAGTGAATTTTCGATCAGTGAATTGAATAAACAGAATATTGGTTGATAAGTTGTAAGCATAGATACAATATGGTTGAATGATGATTGTCCATATGATTAAATTATTAAAATAAGCCTCCGAATAATTTAAGATCAGTGACAAGACCACGAACTTGTAGAACAGTTTTTCATGTAATAAAATTATTTAGTTATACACAAATTTCTACTAATGAAATCAACATAATTAAATGACATCATTGATTGGTGAAAATCAGTTTGTAAGTCGCTTACTTGTTGCCCAGTAATATTAAATAAAAATTGATAAGAATATGAGTAAATGTAAGATTTAATCGCATCAAGTTTTTCTTGTATAAACATTTTTATTAGAAAGAATGGTAATTAGATACATTTTGATCAATATTTTAATAGTACAACTAAAACTTTTCTCAATTTATTTAGCTTTCCAACATAAAATTAAAAATTCTTCTTCACTGAGGAGAACAGAAAAAATGAATATGCTTTATTTGCTCAACAACAAAAAAGTAATCCTCATTATTGTAACCAAGTTAATCTCTTATTTTGACAGAATAGAAGTTAAAACAATGATATGTTTAGTTCAAGATTAAATACTTTTTTTAGAAATTAAATGAAACAAGAGAAAGTGTGAAGAAATGATAATTAAGGATTTTCACACTTTGAAGTACATATAAAAGTAGTGATTATTTTGTGATGTAATATACTTCTAGATGTCAGGTGATTATTAATAATACTACTGTGAAATCAATGATAACATAACGAACTATATAAAATTTTACGTAGTTATCATCAATTCTGGATGTGAGACAAATGACCGTCAGTTCAGTTAAGTGCAATCATTTCAAGAGAGAGAATTAAAATCAACAAGACAAATAGCAATTTATTCAACATAATATTTGTATGAATAATAGTAAAACATACTAAGAATTTAGAATATGATTTGAAGAACAGATATGAAATAAAGCAGTGTGAAATAAACGTTAAGATAAGCTTACTTGCGATAGCTTTTAACTGTCTAACGCACACTTCTTCTGTTTTATTAGATTCACGCTCTGATAATGTCTCACCAATACATGCAATAACGCTTAAACCTTCAGTAAGTGCATGTTGGACTTTTTCAGCAATGAGCTTTGTTATAAAAAAATATGGGAAATAATTTTAATAAAAAATGAAAAAAATATTCTGGTAAATATTTTACTAAAAGATAATACATTGAAAATTGATATTACATACATCGAATAATCAGATGATTGTTTGAGCCAAAAACTATATATTTGTAATATATTGATGATTTTATGAGTTTATGTCCAGCTTTTATCACGTGATTTATCCACCAATCAAAATACGACTCATACAATCTTAGCACTATGCCAAACCAATGACGTTCAACCGGTATGGACAGTCTAGCGTCCTTATTGGTCCTATGCCCGCCTAACCCGTCCACTTGAGTCCAGAACACCAAATACCAGGTTCCAATATGCGAATAGAATCGAATCATTTATTTCAGACATACTGGGTTTATATATCAATCAAACAGACCGCAAAGCACCATAAAATAGGAAATAACATCTGTATACAATAAAGCCGAAAAGTGACTGTGAACATGGGAGGCAGTAGTTAATACACTGAACATAGCTTAAGAACAGTAAATCGTACAATAATAAATTATAGGTCAAAATAAGCTTATAATAAGAGGAATATCAATATACATAATCTAATTATCGAATAGTTACACCATAAGAATGTATAGATAATATTAGTCAATTAATATGTCTCAGGAGTTACTCGTGATTTAATCTTCGCTCGGATGTAACAGATGAGTAGAAAAAAGTTGAACTTCTGACATTTAATAACTAAGTATGAGACGATTTTAAAAAGTAAATAACGTCTTTCAAGTCAATACAAAGCTCAATCTTGAAATATTACAAGTATATCACCTTTGTTATTGATAAGCTTAAAAAATGTATTTCAAATTATTTTCTATTACGAACTTCTTAAGCGAGATTATCTTTAATCTCTATCACACTAAGGTATAGAATATTGCAATAGACTATTTTGAAAATTGATCCTAAACAATGCTGAAATTCCTACGGTAGTTTGTTAAGTTTTAAATGGAACAGAGCTTTAAATAATAAACTGTGTTGTTTGTGATGAGTCGTTTAAACTTTAAGATAGTTTCTGTTACAAACTGATATCAGTTAGATAATTACGGACAACTAGGGAACACTGAATATCTGCATTGTACATATTTCAAATTCCTATTTAATGCACGTGAATTTTACATCAATTCATGTAGAAATTTTCCTTCTAAACATTCACATTAGTAAAAATTTAAAGTGGAAACAAAGAAAACACTTGTCAGATGTTTTGGTGTGGATTGATTGTTTTATCCAATGAAATAAACAGCTAGCTCAAAGTCATCAACTACAAATCAATCGATCGATTTGATTAGATGTTTCTTATTTTTGTAGCGCAATAGGAATCGATAAGCTAACATACTTTCGAATACATTAAGCGAGTTTTGGGCATAGCTCTACCATTTAAAAAATCATTTTTAAACCGACTTAACTCAATAACGACATGGAAGCATGTAATATTTCAGTTGAGAAGTTCCCATTGGAAGAGAGGTGCAAACTAACGAACGATTTATATTCTAATACGTTGAGAACAGTTTTTTCTTAAGGTTTTTACCTAGTATGATTGCCTTACTTTTTATATCTATCAACGGATTCAATTACTCAGAAAAAAGGTGATAAATGTACTCATATTTTATATCATAGTAATATGAGAAAACTAAAATGAGGAAATTCAAATAGTAAAATTAGTTATATCAATAAAGTGGCAGACTAAAATTACGAGAACGGTGTTTGAAATGTGGAATCGAGTAAAAGTATGTATGGGATATAATTACCACAAGTCAAGCCAGCAGTCATGAAAATTATTTGCTAATGTAATGGATTGGAGAAACGGCTGCTAACTTTATTTCAATATGTTCCTATGCTGATAAGTTTTCTAAATAAACGCTCGATTCGGTTTCCTAAGCTCTTCTAGTAAATCCCAGGCTAAACCTACGTAGCAACCTAACATTAAATGGTGGCCGCTTATAAGTCTGTTATCTGATCCATTACCTGTAGCAATTACTCCAACTAATATCAGAATGATTCACTCTCTAGGTACCCCATTACAGAGTAATAGTTCAAAGAAAACTACCAACCGAAGCTAGTAACTTGCACAATCAAACACTATTTTACATAGACATAAATCAAAAGAAGACAGGACGTTGAGGATTATATTAGCAGGCACAAATATTGCTTAATCTATGATATTACAAGTCGTCAAAAGCTACATTTTAATTTGTTTGCAAATAATTTGTTATTCTGTGATTAGTTTTTAGCTGAAGATAACTCATAACTTATCGTTTACTTTAGCACAATTTAGGTTTTATCCCAACAACACTGGCGATATTATTTTGCATTTTGTTCCCAAAATGCTCCAGATAAGACAAACTGTATTTATGAAACACTTAAGGCGCTTATTAGATAGATGTACTTTTGACTCGCTTAGACAATAAAATGCTCAAATTCACCTTTGACTTTCTCAATCGAGTATCTGGTCGTACACGAGTATGGAAAGCTTGAATGCCAGTAGAAGACTCGGACGACCACAGGACATAAAAAAGTGGAATATGTGTTCATAAATATCCTCAACAAACACTAAATTTTTCCGATTGCATCATAACGAAAAAAATCAAAACCAACTGTCTAATCCAAATTATCGATTACCGAATGATATTCCTGACAAACAAATGTACATAAAATAAAATCACAGGTAATTGGTTCAAATCTATCGCTGTTTTTATTTTTATTATATTTTAGTAGTCCAGATATTGGATTAGGATCGTGAAATCTAGTATGTCCATCAATTTTATAACCCTCAGTGCAGCTTCTCAAAGTTATGGATATTGACAATGATCGGTAGTTTTCTTTTTAATGGTAAATATATATCATATCTGTTGAAACATTTACAAATGAAGAAATCTGGTCAATCTCAGTAGTCAATTAAATATACAATGGACATTTTACTGCAATCAGTATGTCGCGGATGTTTTATTTTAATGTAACTTTATTTTCAGCAAATATAATTACACACCAGATACACTCTATAGGAACGTTCACAGCAAATATCTTTCAAGATTGAACTAGTTGTTGCAAACCTTTGTTTTATAAACTAACAAATGGGTAAGCCAATATTTATCTTAATGTTTATAAATCAGTTATAATGTATCAAACCGGATAGGTGTTAACTATCAGAAATAAATGAAGGTAGTTGTATTTCTGTCCACAAAATTACTGTTAGAAAGTCCATTTATATATCATAAAATAGTTGTTTCCTTATGATGGTACTGTTAAAAAAACCTACTTCGTCAGATTCACCAAAAATGCTCCTACGCTCAGAATGACCAAGTATTACCCATTCACAACCAATATCTTTTATCATTGCAGGGCTAAACAAGATTTGTGGAGAAACAAGAATAAAGTTGATATATAAGTTACTACTAATTTGAAGCAAAGACGGAGAAACGGTATTCAGTATATATTTTGTCTTTCCTAATAACTGTGTCAAAAGAAAAATCATGACTTCACTTACTTATTACAGAAAGATCAAACATCGCAATGTAAGAAATAGCATACTTTTATGCATAAAAATATAAAGCTGTAAATAAATCATCATAATAAATAATTTTGTAAGTCTTCGACGTTGATCCTGGCCTCGTTAGTTTTATTGAACACACCATAGTTTTAGGCGCTCAGCCAAGCATCCGCACCAGATCACTAATGAGCAAGCCCTATTATGTATTCCACGCAACAACTAGTCAGCTTAGCTCATATATTTCCCGACATATCGACTGCCTTTTAAATATACCTCCGAACACTCCCATTCTTGACTCCTGGTTTGACTGAGTTTGTGATCGTCTATCAAAAAGGTGTTACAGATGACAGTGTTGTCAAGCCCTGAATATCTTAAACATATTTCAGCAGCTTATTGCATTGAGCTAATTTGACAGTGTGATTTGTTTTTAAGTAACACATATTTATCGTTAATAAAAGTTGGAAATAGCATTAAAGAACAAATCATGTAACAGTAGACCCAGTAAGTCTCGATTTTTTTTACTTGGTTACAGGAGAATAAAAACAGGGAGATATCATATTTTTTCTCACCGACAGCTGCCACTATCTGAAATGACATCAAACCAGATGTAGTCTGTTACCTCACTAGAGGTTTTTGATAATGAGCTTGACAACACCGAACTTAATCATGACCTACAACCTCTAGTCCAAAATAACTGCGCTTGATACGCGTCTTGCTGCTCATCTATCATTATTATTACTCCTCTTCTATCACTTTCTTCTCACTGTTCATTTGTCATCCTTACATTTCGGTTTGTTTATACTGCTTGCATAGTGACTTTATTTACGTCCTATAGCAATGGTCTTTTCTAAGCCACAGTTTCTTCACTTTAAAACCTCCATATGGTATCTATTCGGTAGTTTGATAAATTTTGGTTCAGAAGACGATACTGCCCTGAACCAAATTAATTCAATCAAGATATACAAACTGATAAATAACTACAGAAACTAATGGAACTGGCCAAATTGCTAGACTGCTTCCATAGAAATCCATTAAAGACCTGAGTGTATCGTAAGACCAAGGAAGGAGCACAAACAAAACATATTATTTAAACGAGCTCGTCAATATAATCTCTTAAATTTAAAGTAAGCACTTAAGTGGTCAAAAATGTTTCCACTGAATATTGTCCATTAGGTTTCGGTTTGCTTTATCCGTCATTTTTTATTTACTTTTAGCTTAAATACACATAGCCATCCAGTATATAGTAAAAGGTTTATTTCTGCTGTGAAACCATAGCCTTTGGCAAAGACGCATGTTAGGTTCTTATTTTTTGGTACTAACAACGAATCAAAACGGTTTTATGGTTTCAATCATATAAAATTGAATAGAAATCTTTTATCGGATCATTTAGCAACTATAGGAGGTTGAAGAGAAACAGTTACCTGATTTCTCCAGTAAATGCACCCTTTGATACTTTATAACAATTTTGAGCGGCAACATGTATTTCCTTCTTCAAAATTTTTCGAACGTCGTGCAAAAATAGGGATGGTGGAGCAATTAAAACTTCTAAAATTGAAGTAATTTTCGGACGTGACGTCATAACAAACCTGTGTTGTCACCAAAATGAGCTTCTGAGAGCAATTTAAGTAACTTTTCATTATCTTCTCTGCTTCCGTTCATTTTCCAGTTCCCTCCAACAAAAAATTTGCGAGATCCAGACATTTTTTTAGTGGACGGAACTTATATAATTAGTAACTGAAAGAATTCTTCGACCGACGCGCTTAAAATTCTAATGAAGGAGTTCAGTAGATCTTAGTAGTAAAACACATTTTGCGTTAAAGTGATGTCCTTGAGTTGCTTTTTGGTTACTGGCTTTTATCAGTAAGACAGTGATATTTTTTTATCTTCTGTTAGTTACCATGATCCCATTAATTTTGGTTCGAACGTAATCGACTAGTAGGTATAGTCGGATCATGAATTCACTTAATTTCCTGATACTCTATCGCTTGTTTTAGACGCTCCAATCATCCATATGTTACTCAGTGAGTCACTTGTATCGATTTACATTTATGTCTGGGAACAAGCTCGTGCTATTTCGTCTGAAGATCTTACGGACATAGATCGGAAAAAAATGAACATTGTAGACTAGTACTTCATAAAAAATTTAATGATTACTCTTTGGAGACTAGGTAAAGACAAATCTATATTTGTGATGTGAAACTGATAATCTGAAAGTGTTTCGGATAAATCGTCCGAGAAATTGTGTATCCTCATACGCTTCTATATTCAATAGAGTTTCATCACATAAATAAACGTCATACAAAATATTACATAACTTTCATATACTGATCTGGAAGGAGGTATAGTGTATCTCGAACAATTTTGCTCATTAAAGCGAATCAGCTAGTTCAAATGGTCTAACAACTGCTGAAATAGCGCAACAGTCTATAAAAATTTACAATGCTTATTAATGAAAGTACTGTCAGAACTAACCAATCTATTATGTGAGTCTCACACATGACATCATCTATAAAACCATGAGAATTTAGTATTTCTAAGCATATAGCATTATTTGATCTCTCCGTAGTGACTTTCTAGAGGTTGTGGAGGCAAATAAATCTTTGGAATAAATGGTTCCGTAAGTCTCCGACATTTGATGCAAACCGCACTGGTTTCGGTGGAATCACCCAACTGAAGGCGCTTGGTCAGGCATCGGAACCAGATCAAAGCCATACTGTGCATCTCTTACAACCGTTATCCAGCTTAGATTGACCATTGATAGCCTATCAAGTATATCTTTGAACCTCTTCGTTTCTGGTTTCTGATTCCGCTGAGTTGGCACGTTTCGAATACAAAAGGTGTTACTGGCTGGGGCGTTGTCAAATTCTGAATACTTGTGTCATCGTTAGTGGTGATCCCGAACGGATATGATACTCCAATTTGCAAACAGTGATACTGTAGAGTTGTGGTTTACTTCGTTATTAGTGCCGCTCTAATAATTGACTTTATCCTAATATTGTAGATTTGTCATGTTGTAACTGCATAATCTATTTAGATCTTACGTAGAAGTCATATTATTATATACACCAACACATCGCATCGTAACAATCATCAATACATGATGAAGAAAATACCTAAACTAGAGATAGAACAATGTATTTAACATGAAAAAAGGTATGTAACAACACTCAAGCGTCGCCACGCCTGCGAGGCTGAACCATACCAACCGACGTATTCGAATCAGTTGAATTCCATGTCCACGCCATGTGTGGTTAGGGCCCAATGCCACTACAAATCTGTTCTTTTTTGGAACTTTATATAATAGCTTTTACTTCGATTTTTACGTATTGTGGTATTTTTTGGTATTTTTGAATATCTTTTTCTCGTTCACCGCCATACTTTATGTTCTTTTATTGTTATTGTTAGCTTTATTCAATATTATATTTTTGGCACGATATGGAATTTTCAGCACAAAGTATTTCAACGAATTCCATTTTCTTATTTCTTGATCGACCTTTGAAATAGATATTGAGCGATCGCCAGTTAGATGTTTGCATTTCAGGAATAGACGTCTAAATAATGTATATTTTTCTCGGTGCATGTTGCCAGTAACCACGATGTTTCTGATTTGGCCCTTTTTTAAATTGTACAGCGAAATGTCGTAAACGTGTCAAAAACGACCAATAGCCATGATGATGTATTAAATCAAACAAAAGTTCCAGATGGCAGGAACAGGTAGACAAGATATTCAAGCAGGCTGCGTTTATCATGAATGAACAGACTCTAAATTTGCTTAAGATGAAGACTCTTACGCCACCCTCATTTCAGCAAGTGCCATTCTGACCCGTCTAAATCAAACCCTGGTCCTGCTACGCAGAAGGTGACCTCACCGGCGCGGCGTGACAGACCCGAGTTCACAGTTCTTTACTGTCGTGAAGGTACTGCCACACGATTTCGCTAGTGATGCCTCAGGACCTTACGAAACCTCAAAAATGACTATTTCTAAATGTGTAGATCACAACGATGGACGAATATTAGACCAACTCTTCAACGACATTGAACTACAACATGGAACATTAACAGTAATTTCAGTGAATGTGAGAGGTCATAAGTAAACAAACCTTTGACGAAGGATTGTTCAGACAACACTTCTTGTCTATGCTTCTCCAACAGGTGCAGGGAGTGCTTGTCTCGTATAAAAACAACACTGTAGACAAACTGGTTGCATCTGCCAACCCAACTCTGAAAGACATTGGGACTTCCAGTGCCGAAGTCAATTCGACTAAACAAAAACCTCATGCGACATTAAATGATGTCACAGAACTTTGTCACACCCTGACACGTCACCTTATTATGCACAATGACCGTAGACGCTCTCAAACACCTCAAATGGTTCAAATGCTTGTGGACGGAATAGAAGAAGCTTTCGCTTAACAGGATTCTGTCTAGTAGCAGGGGATCACGAAATCCTCCAGGCAGGAACCTAGGTATGTTAACAATAAAAGAGGAAAAGAAATTGGTAAATCATAGTGTGATGCTGTCCTTGGTTCTTAAGAATAGGTCAAGTTGCCTCTTGAAGGACTCCTGAGAAGTCACTTGGACTAGCTCGGCCGGCAGCGAATTCCAGCTTTTGACAACTCTTAAGGAGTAGATGTTGTGTCTACATTCTGTCTTGCTATGTTGTGTTTCCAGTTTCTGGGTGTTACCCCTTAGGTTATTATTCGAACTAAGCTTAAGTAGGTGTTTAAGAGGATGTCCAGAAGTGTTAAGAATACTATAGGCCATTAATAAATCACCTCTAAGACGCCTATATTCTAGTAGGTAAAGGTCTAGTGAACGGAGGCGTTCTTCGTAAGGCTTAGATCTGAGTCCTCGAACTGATTTCGTGGCTCGCCGTTGGATACGCTCCAAAGTGACCTTGTCCTTTTGGAGTGAGGGGGGGGGGAGTACTATGTTTCCGTACTCTAAATGGGGACGGATGAAACTATTGAAGATTATATGGAAAGTTCTTCCGTCAAACTGGCCAAAAATGCGCCTCAACGTTACCAGTGCAAGGTTTGCTCGGAAGGCATTTTTGTCACAGTTAGCGTAAGACTTTAAACCATGGGGCACCAGGACTCCCAAATATATTTCTACTTGGGATACTACTAGAGAGGAGTATCCTAAGTTATAACTGTAGTCTGCGACATGTCGCAGATGGACTACTTTACACTTTAAATTTTTAAAAGCCAGTCCATTATTATCTGCTCAACTTTTTAGTCGAGTCAGATCCTCCTGAAGTGCCTGTATTTCGTCTTGATTGCGTATCTCTCTCCAAAGTATAACATCATCGGCAAAGAGTAAAAATTCTGACGTTACCTGTTGAGGAAGATCATTTATGTAGATCAAGAAGAGAAAAGGTCTTAGTACTGAGCCCTGGGGGACCCCACCAGGACATTCCGTAGCCTGAGATAAAGCGGAATTAACCCTAACCTTGAAGTGACGATTTTTCAGGTATGAAGTAAGCCAATCGATTAGAGGTGTTCTGATATCCAGTCGTTTCAGCTTACTAATAAGATATATATGGTTAACCCTATCAAAAGCTTTTGAGAAATCAAGGTAAATGACATCAACCTTTCCCTTGCAATCGAGGATGCTTGTCCATCTGTCCACCGCAGTCAGCAGGTTGGTTGTACAAGAGTAACCCTTCCTGAAACCATGCTGTTGGGGTGAGAAGAAATTTAAGGACAGTAGATAGTCATTTAAACCGTCGCATATCAGGGACTCCATGATTTTTGAAGGTAATGACAGAAGAGCCACCGGCCGATAATTTGAAGTTTCATTGCGTCGACCACCTTTGAAAATTGGTGTGATGTGAGCCAACTTCCAATTTTCCGGCAATTTGCCTCGGCTAAGCGAGTGTGAAAACATCACGCTAAGCGGCATTGCCAATATTGAGGCTGCTTCTCTCAGTATGGCAGAATAGACCATATCTGGGCCAGGAGAAGTGTCTAGTCTTAAATGCTGCGATTTTCGGAACACCAAGTCAGCGCTTAGGGTCACTTCGGAAAGTACTATGGAATTGCAGATGAAACTGTCATCAGGAAAGTTGATGTCGGTCGGTTGAAATGTCTGAGAGTAATCTTCAGCCAGAAGGTTAGCGGCGTCGCCATCGTTGCTGGTCGGGCTGCTAAGACCTAGCAGTTGGGAAACTCCAGTTTTGGCTTGACGAAGAGAGGCTGCATAACGGAATAAGCTTTTAGGATTAGAGGCAAGATTGTCCATAAGCTTTTTCTGGTACTGAAGCCTGCCTTCTCTTATAGCTTTCGTGCATATGCTCCTTATATGTTTATATTGCCTGTACGCTCCGTCGTTGTCAGTTCGTTTGTATTCCGCCCAACAGTGCCTTTTGCGGCTTAGTAGGCGAAGGGTACGGTTCTTGATTATTGTAGGTGGCTTGCAGCTTTTGGGAACCGTTTGAGGAACTGAATGGTCTGTAGCACATAAGGGCGTGTGCAGTAAGAAGTCCCAATGACCATCCACATCGAGTTTAGGGTGAACATCCCAAACCACCTGTTGTAGATAGTCATGTAGAGCTGGCACATTCAGCCGTTTAAAATTCCAACGCAAATTATTGTTGGGATACCTTAGCTTAGTTTTGATGACAAAACTGAAGGCTATGACGGCATGATCGCTCTTTCCCAGAGGAGCCAGGATTGAGAGGTTGTCGACTAGGAATTCTT